AACTGACATGGTCTTATTTGAGGAATTTATTTACATTTGCTAAAGCCCTTATAAAATAAGTTATCTAAGGATGGCACAATTAAAAGCAATACTGATTCAATGAAAATGCAACACATGAATGAAATGTAACACAGCCTTAAAGATTCCTCCTTGGCAGGGGCTGGGCTCGATGATCCATAGGGTCCCTTCCAGCTCTTCAGCTTTAAGATTATAGATCATAAGAAGATTCTATCATATGTAAAAAAGCCTAAACCGCCGTACGACTTAAGGGCTAAAAATACATCAACGAGTCTGAAATGGGAGACAGTTAATTGTTAGAAATATTAGAATAGGTTGACCTGTCAGATTAGTCAGGCAGTGGGTCTGGTCCATTGGGACTCTTAATTTCTTTTGTTGCCCCTCCCCTGCTCCTTTAGGGTGTAACCCCTGCTTGGCCATCTAAGCATCGAATCCAAGGCTGGCCAGTCAATTCTGTCCCAAAACAAAATCACAGTGATTCATATCCCAGGAAGGGGCCGGCGCCTGCTGGAGTTGGGGAGCCCCTCCTATGCTGGAAGTGTCATCGATCCTCCCCCCCCCCCAGACTGGACAGATTGTGAGTTTCCAGAACATTTGCAGTGAAGCATCTTTTGTAGATCAACCAGAAAATGTTGGCTAGGGGAGGAGTCTGGTGAGGAGAAACAAGGACCACACCAACAATCCATGAAGTTGATCCAGCAATTTGTGGAGAAACAGTTTTGTGAAAGGTCCCCTCCCCAAATGTTGCTCCTTTGGGTGATTTGGCTGATTGGTCAATGTGTCTACTGGGGGGGCTGCAGTGAGGTTCACTTCTGATTCGTCATGTGTGTTCCTGTGCTGCTGATCTCTTCTCCCTGCCAGTTACCCTGAAAGGTTTTCCCCTCCTTTCCCTTGGAATTCAGATCTCAACAAAGGGTTGCATGTAAAGGCATATTGTTATTAACATGCCTGCTCTAATTGCTGCCCTTTCACTCCAAGAGTCTTAAATGCCACACCTCATAAAAAGAGCAGCAAGAAGAGTCACTGACCAGCTTTGCAAAAGTGCGCACTAGTTGTGCAGCTGCTGCCAGTAAGACCAGCTCAAAGGCCAAAGGCAAGAATTTTTCTGAAAAAGGTGGCAGCTACTGTGAATCACCCAAAGTTCAAATGGCACCTCAGAGGAGGGCTTTCCTCTCCAAGTTGCTTCTTGCCATGTCCCTGCAGAAGGAGCCTCTTCAGAAGAAGAGCTGGAGCTTCCCGAATGGCAGGCAGCATGGAAAAGCAGGCCAGTAGGGAGACAGTGCGGCCATCCACCCAAGAGGACCCAAGAGGGTCAGAGAAGCATGTGTGTGTGTGTGTGTGTG